TATATAAACACCATAGTGTGTCACATTGTTGATATAATATGATGTTTTTTTTATTTCCCTCATCTTCCCTTGTGTGGTTTTTAGTTTTTCTTTTAACCCCAGATTTATACTACATGCGTCTCTGCTCCGCTGCGCTGCGGTGCGCAGGTCGCAGCTGTTCGTTTGTGTCTCATTTTATACAGCGTCCTCTCCGCTCCGGTCCGACAGAGTGTGCAGGAAGGAGAGGAGATCGCGCAATAAATTCAGTGATAACAGCAAAAGATAATTAATTCTGTGAAAGACAAACTCCAAACACAGTTGAAAACATTGATATAAAGGCTTTTGAGATCTGTGTTTAATCTGTCTCACTGTCGTCTTTCTGAAACTTCTGATTTCAAAATAAAATCCACGTGTATCGTGTGTGTACACATCTGCTTCCCAAACAGAACAATACATTCTGACAGCATTTGTGTAGAAATATATCCATATATTTATTGATATTTCTGCAATTTCGACATTATTCCGACAAATTATCCCGCCTAAAAGTGTCTTATTTTAAAAATACGGATGTTGTGCTCATTTCTTTTCCTGTTGGTGCGACATAATCTTTAAAAGTTGACTCCGGCGCAGCTCTGGCGTCTGGCAAAAATAGGATCTGTTCTAATTTTGCCGGATTGCCGTCTGCTCACGGCCGCCGTGCGCAGCCAGTGTAAACACACTCGTTGATTACAATGGGTGCGTATTTGCTGCGGAGKTCGGAGCGGAGCGGAGACGGAACGCACGTAGTGTAAATTAGGGGTAAGGGTTGTGCCTCCTCGTGATGTCTTCATGAAGATGATCCTTGCTCTGTGCAGGGTCAGAGGCTGCATGACCCAGAGCACCTGTTCTATGTTTATTTTCTGTCTTCTTATGAATGGCTGTTCTGAACTGTAATTTCATTGTGCTCCATACGATGACAATTAAAAAGTCTAATCTAATCTAATCTAAACACAAATATCCTTACATTTTGTGCTAGATAGGTGGCGATGAAGTTCACTACTACAGTTTTTGTCAATGAGAAAAGCAATAAATGTTAATGCTTTTGTATTATTTTATGGTAAGTTTTATCTGGTAGTGAGCGTGCATCATTAGGTGAGGATCCATCATCTTCTTTACTCTCCTGCAGATGGTGTCTTCAGAATTCATATGTAAGAGATGCACTGCTCTGCATGTTCTACTTGTTTCCCTGCTCCAACACACCTGATTTGATGACTGAATTACCTCTTTAAGTGCTATAGAAGCCTGTTAAGCATCCATTCATTCAGATCAGGTGTACCRAGCAAAACAAGTACAACGTGCAGGATGGGCAGGATTAGACCCCCTGCTCTAGAATGTTTAGTCAAAAATATTGACATAAAATAACTAACCAATAAAAAAGAGCATTAAAATTAACTGGTTTTCTCATTAAGTTGACCAAAACTTCAAATTTTTATCATTCTCAAAATTGGCGCATGCGCGTAAAGATTGCGCACTGATTGCAGAACTTCTACCCTCCAACACAGGAATTTGTGTGAGAAGAAACGAAAGAACATGAATCTCACCGGAAGGCTGAGTGGCAACGGAGTTAACGAGCAGGAAGAATTCAGTTTTCCCTGGAACCCGTTCATCCTCAGAGCCGGATTTCTCCACGATGAACTCGCAGGAGTATCGGTCCGTGTCGGCGGCCCGCAGCTGGGAGATGGTGACGTTCACCGAGTGGGTGCTCGGGTCTCCGCTCACAGCCAGCCGGTCTGTGTAGGCCACGTCCTTCACGCTGAAATTTGCTTTGGTGTAGTAGAAGAGCACCTCCCCGGGTTGGAGCCAGCTGCGTTTCAGGTAGAAGCCGAAAGGCGGCGGGTGCACCGGCGCCATGACGCAGGAGAGGCGCACGGACTGATCCTCCTCCCGGTCCAGAAACACGGTGGTACCACAAACACCTGCACCGAAAGGAAACTGCATACATCAGATGCATGCCTTCCCTACTGAATTAAGTGTTAAGAGTAAAGTTAAATATAAKAAGTTTAAATAAAATTTCTAATTTTGGTCTTATTCCCTTTCAGATTAATCTAATTTTTTTTAATGAAGAGAATGAAAAATCATGATCAAAGTTTTCACATAAAGTTTAAAAAAATACTTTGAGTCAGGATCATTTTCAGACCAGAGCAAATCATTTTCAACTTTTTTTTCTTACAAAGTTTAATAATGATTTTTAAAAAAGTTTCTTCTCCTGTTTAAATTTTCATTCTGTCCACTCTTAAAGACTCACATTGAATAGAAAGTGAACAATCAGATCACTAACCAGGACAGAACTTACCAAACCCAGTCTGAATGATGACCACAGTCCACAGACAAGCCAGGYACCGGATCCTCTCCATCTTTTAACACCTCAAAACACTAAGGCTGACTCTGAACACGACCACAGGTCCAAACCATGACACCTCAGGTTAAGGACACTTCAAACTGAAATGTCAAAAGCCTGGATAACAGTAAATGAAACCAAGAGGAACCTCACGAAGCTCCACCTTCAGGTCTTAAGGCACAGAGCTGCAAGAGGAAGCACAAAACACCACAGTTGTTGAATCATTCCCCACTTCARCTGAATTATAATAATAAAAACATYAAAACAGAATGTGAAGGATCTGCAGCAGCTCAGGAGCAAACAACTGTTTTAATTATTTCATTTCACAATAAGTCATTAAATTTGCATYAGTTGTGTTTCACTTGTTCAGAAGATTATTTGTATATATTCCAAAGGAAATGGTTCTGACAACTCATCTGTGAACAGGATGTGTTTTGTTGTGATAATTTACATCAATGTCATTGTTGAAGGGTCTGTGCAACTGAACTTCATTTCAAAATAAACCAGAAATTGTCCTCTGAGGGGAAAAAGTCATCCTTGCAAAGAAGTAGAGGATTAATAGTGATTTCTGTGGAGCTGCAGCTCATTCATCATGTAAAATAAAGTATAACTGATTTCAATAACAAACATCCAAATAAGGTCTTCTGTGTTTTTCCACCAACAACCCAAGTTTTTTTTTCTTTGTGACGGTCTTGCGTGCCTCCACACTGAAAAGGAAACCACACTGTWGTTTGAAAATGAGTAGCTCTGGTTATTTGGGTTAATTCTGTATGCATGCAGCTACGTGTTTATA